TGTGGTACTTTTTAATGGCAAAACCAAGGTCACACTTCACTCATAGTACAAACAGCTATATTATACAGTGCAAAGACATGCTGCAGTCCCCAGCAAAGGATCAGCCCTTTCTGATGCATTTCACTCTTACAAACTTAGTCGTATGGACCAGATTAGAGGTTCTCTATGGCTAAGCCCATTAGGGTGAAATGGGTCAGAAGGGGCGATTCTCACATGGTACTTCAGGGTTCCTTTGCTCTGTTTAATAAATCTGTTTGTACTATGAATTGTGTCACTGGAAGTGCGTCCTTGGTTTTGTATTGAGTGTACTTGCAACGGAGATGGGCTCCTATGGGCAGCCCCCAGTGCACCCAAGACTTTAGCACAACAGGGATGAAAGCTTGGAGTGGGGGATTTCCTATGACCTTTTAATGATAGTTACTTCTATAATGAGCCATTTTCAATGAAATAATACTTTATGTAATTTATAAAAAAAACATTTTCATGGTTACAACCCCTTGCTCTTTGTGCAGGTTGTTTGGAGCAAAGTGCCCTATAGATTCCCTCTCCTGCTTCCTAACAAAGGAACGGATCTCCTATGAAGATGCTTTGAAGAGAGACTTTCAGCTTGCTCAGGTTGGAAAGACCTTTGGACCTACGTACGTATCATAACCACTGTTACATTGTCTGTATGGTTTAATAAGTTAGTTATAAAAATGAACTTGATCATGTACTAAACATTATCACACTTAATCCATAAAGAGTTGTATGCTTAGGTGAAGTAATCAAAATCCAACTAGCACTGGTTTGACTTCAGTAGAATGAGTTCTAATTATTCGTGATGAGTTAATGAACTGAAAGAAAACCTGTCATGATAGAATCACTGATGTAAGAAATAAGGAATGCCAACCCTCATTTACAGCTTTCTTGCTCCGTGTCTATGACTCAGAATATATAGCGATAGAAAACCTTTTAGACCAAAAACACACTAAATGCAACTCCCTTTGTAAGCACACACCTGATCACCAATATGAGCCCCCCCCCACTCAGGGTGTCAAGCTGTAATAGGGAAATAAGTTTTAGTGAAGCATTGCCAGACACCCACAGTGGTGAATATTGTGAAACATATATACTCCGCACAACTTAGCGTGATTTCTGTCACAATGCCTATAATATCTAAATGATGTAATGTCTTAACTTTTATGGCGATTCAGTTCTGGCATTTGCTCTTTAAATAGATTAGTAATTCTGTTTTTTGTTTTTGTGTTTTTGCAGGTGGTGGACTTGTTGGTTCAAAGTGGAACTAAACATACCCGAAAAGTGGTGCGGACAGGAAGTCCATCTAGTATGGGAGAGCGACGGTGAGGGGTTGGTGTGGAAAGATGGCATTCCAGTCCAGGTAAATGATTGTTCAAGGGAAAAAAATAAAGAAGAACCCAGGATTTGCCAGCTGTACATATGTAGGCGGATTTCCCATTAGCACAGACAAAATATCTGTGAATAAGCTGCTCCCATGGCATCCAATTCTATTCCTGATCTCAATGATTATCTTTCTGAACAATCTTTTTTTTCTTCTTTCCAGAATGGAATGTTTATAAATTTCCATCATAGTAAAAATATTTGAAAGACTGTGTACAAGCCCCCATTCACGCCTGAACTATTTGATGCATATTTCCCAATGAACTTCAGCGCTTGGCACTCAGATTTCTGCGTAATTCTTTTGTGCCTGATTGATGTGCTGTTGCTCAGAAAAAATGACAGGAGCTTCTTTGCGGCATGATCTCATGCTTTGTTCACAGTAGCCTTTAAAAGAGAACTATGGGGTAAGTTTTTTTCCCCCAATAGTTCTCTTAAGGGTCATGGGAGGACATATACTACCGTGTTTCCCCGAAAGTAAGACATCCCCCTAAAATAAGACCTAGCACTATCTTCGGGGATGTCTGTAATATAAGACCTACCCCGAAAATAAGACCTAGTTCGGGGTAGGTCTTATATTACAGACATCCCCGAAGATAGAACATCCCCCGAAAATAAGACCTAGTGTCTTATTTCGTGCAAAAAAAAAAATAAGACACTGTCTTATTTTCGGGGAAACACGGTAGCATCCTCCCGTGACCCAAAGCTCTGTATATCGCGAGCTGGAGCTCGGGGACATGCGCTAATGACAGCTGGCTCTGTTTATCTAGAGGCAGAGCCAGCTGTACCTGCCCCCTCTCCCGTCCGTTCCTGCACTCAGCCCTGGAGGATCGAAGCGGGAGGGGAATCCATGCGCGGAGCCGTGACTGACAGTCACAGGCCTCTGCAGGGAGATGATCGAGAAGTGAGCGAGCGAGGGTATGTGTTCACCCCCTGATCTATTGAGCCGACGTGTGGCAGTTTCATTGTCAAACGTTGGCTCGAGCTATGAGGATGAGTAATTTTCACTCACCTCATAGTTCTCCTTTAACTACTTGAAGACTGGGGTGTTAAACCCTCTTCCTGTCCAGGCCATTTTTTGGTGTTCAGCTCTGCAATGATGTACTGAAATTATTTTTTTATAATTTTTTTGGAGACAGAGCTTTCTTTTGGTGGTATTTAATCACCACTGGGGTTTTTATTTTTTACTATATGACGAAAAAAGTACAGAAAAGTTTGAAAAAAAAACTGTTTCCCTATGTTAAGTTATGAAACCTTTTATTATTACCCATATTTCTTTGTAAAATATAAAAGACAGAGTCATGTCGGGTAAATGGATACCAAGCATGTGTGCGCCTGCGAAATCACAAAAAACTACCATACCCAAAATTGGCCATAGTGATGCTTTAAAAGCTTTTACCGCTCATCAGTTAGTGTTAACAGTGATTGATGGCCCTAAAATGATTGCTTGTGCTCTAACGTTCGCGGTGATATGTAACGTGCAGTGCAATCATCGTTTTGGCATGTTGGCGCACCCGATGCATGTTTGTGTGTCTATGTGGGGTCGGGGGACTTTAACATTTTTTTTTTACACTTAGCCTACTATGTGATAGCAATAAAGTTAACAAGCCCCTTATGTGATAGCCAATTTACATGACCAGTCCTCTTTATGGAGACATCAGGGGACTTCAAAACCCCTAATGTTACTTAGGGACCCCCCAAAGAAGCTGATGAAGCAGAGATCTGCTTCCCTGGCTTCTGTAGCTGGAGAGTGACAGCTGAAAGCGGAAGTGATCTAATATACATCACTTCCTGCATTCTGACAACGGAGAGACCAAAGGGAGATCATGCACTAAGCTCCCTCTGATATACGGTCACAGAGTCGCTGTGCCCAGTGTGGGCTGAGACCAACGGCGTGGGGTGGCGCACACCTGCACGCAAAATGCAAGTGAGCGGGCGGCTCTATAGCCACTGGAACACTTGTATTTAAACAGCCATCACCAGCTGTTTACATTTCAAACAGTTTCCCACCCGTGCGCGTGGTGGGCGGCGCGCACAGGTAGGGGCAGGGAAGGACTTTTTTAAACGCTCACCAGCATCTAGAAAGGTTCCCATCTGACCGTTTATGTACGGCCGCCAGACAGGAGATGGCTAGTGAGAGTGTCTGAGAAATGTGCATTTTTTTCACGCGATTTCTTGCCTTACATACTCTCCTGCTAGCAGCTAACTTTCCATTCTCTAATACAAAAACGCTCAAGCCTCAACATGCATAAAAAACAAAAGTACAAATGGGCAAAATAAGTGTGGAAAACATCCAAAGAGGCCAATGCTCAAGTGTGAATGTAGGCTTACACTTCGAAATGCTTACTGTCTTTTATTTTTTCACACTACCTGCCTATAACAAGCAGTGTTCAAACCATGCCAAAACACTTTATCATTTGGATCATCATGATGGTATTTTGTTAAATTAGCATAATTAGAGTAAAGCCCATACATGATCGGCTCATTTCACAAAGCTAACATGTCAGGATAAATATTCTTATTTTTAAAGTGAAAGTTAAAGTGTTGCATGCATTGGGTTACGTCAGCCCATCCATTTGAGTTGGTTGCCTAGTTCACCAAAATGCTCAAAAAAAAGGTGCATTTTGAACCATTTCTGGCAGGGTACAGCATGGGCGAATATGGCATGTTACCACGAAGTACTGCAACAAGGTGGTGTGAATAGGCCTTAAAGCAGATCTCCTGTATTTTCAAAAATTAACCCCTAAAGTGGGGCTACCCCCCGCACTGCAAGGGTTAACTGCTCGTTTTGGTCTAGAGAATGGAATGAAGAAGATACTTACCCGATCCTTGATCCTGTGGCGTTGACCACTCACTTGTCTGCCCCTCCACTCCAGCTGTGGTATGTCCCTCAGCATCCTCACATCTGATGTGAGTGAATGGACTTTGCATAGACATGATGACATCAGTGGGACTTGGACTGCCTTAGTCCGGGGGGAAAAGGTTATGACCAGTCTAGACCAAAATGATCAGTTTTTCAAATCCTGGAGTTCCTCTTTAAATCTTTGTGAATTCAGGCTCAGACTTGGAGATTCTGAATGATATGCCTCACCAAAACCTTCCCCATTCCAGTGTATTACAGTCAATGGAGGAAGAATGGTCTCAGACAGTCTGTATTGCTCTATGCAACCAATTAGGTGTTTCCCTTTTTCCCATTCTTGAATCAGGTGGAGAAATGGGAGAATGTGAATATTTGGTACCGGAGTACCGGAACAGCTAAGGATGGAAGAAAAGCATTTCTGTTGACTTCCACTTTAACTGTCAGTGTGCTGCTCTAGCACTATTCAAAACCATGTATAATCTTTACTACTTGTTTGAGAAACATTTAATAATCAGGAAAATAAAAAGAAATCATCTGCCCAAAGTATTTACAAACAGAAGTGTTTTTTTTTACTTTATTGCCCTAATGTAGTGAAATGTAAAGGTTATTGTAGGAGTTTGTGTAATCCACTTTTTTCTTGGCACTCTGGGCCAATTGGCCATTTGATGCTGTTCGCAGTCCTTGTCAACCTAATGCTGAATATGATTACAGGAGGGATTAGCACAGGGATGACCATATCAGCGTACTGCTATTTCTTCTTTATCCAATCAGAAGGCCGGAGGAGGCGGAGGAGTGACTAAGGAAACAGAATTTGTAATCGGCTGTTTTTTTTTTTCCTATAGTCGCCTCTCCCTCGGTAATGCTACTCAATCATATGATTGTATCATCTCTTCCTGATAAAAGCACAGGAACCTCACATTTGTTAGGGAGATTACTGATTATTTCACACTGTGCTTCTCATAAGAGAAATATGGAGGCTGTCCTTGCGTCCCTCTCCTGAAAATGCGCATTGCCTGGCTGTCATGCTGCCTTCTCAGCCAACACCAGGTAAAGAGGTAAGAAATTTACATTTTCCCTGCTTCATTGGCTGAATTCATGTGTGGCTTCAAAGTGCTGAAATCAGACAAGGGAGGGAACTGACACTTTCAGAAGGAGGTAAGCCATTGAGGCTCCCTGGTCCTCACTTGAAAAGTGTACATTAAAGGCAGCAAGTTTGTGGTTTTTAAAGTGTATCTAGATCAATAACCTTTGTTTTGTTTTTGGATAGAACTGGTAATGGGTAAACACAGCTCTTTTAGTTTTTTCTTGCTGTTTTGTCCATTTGGGGAGATTTTCTCTCTCTTTCTGTCTCAAGACACAATTGGAAGTATGAAGAGATGTCCCCAAAGGAAGGGAAATCCTCACTTACAGGTATTATCACTGGAGCAAATTTCCCTGCTGGAACATTTACCCTCCATGCCTGTTCTGCTGACAAAAATGTGAATGTTGTCTCACTTTCAGTCTCAGTGAAAATGATCCTTAGGACTTCCCAGTGCATTCACATACAGCAGTAAAAACATGACGGAGATTCTAACTCTTCCCACGTTTAAAGAAAAGGCTTTATATACACTTTTGACACAAGTCAGCGTTGATATTTTTTTTTTCCAATTATGTTCTTTTAATGCAGGGTTTAACAAAAGAGGGTGAGAAAACAAGCTACATTTTAACCAGACATTTAAAGGAAGGAGATCCACATCGGTAAGGACTTTCTGCTGTACACTGTATATTTTTGTCCGTTGGTTGTGTTCCACTAAAACCTTTGTGGGATACAAGAATCACCTATACTATTACCTGTTTCCACATGTATCTCCTTTCTACTCTGATCCCATATTGCAATTGATGTACCGGCTACTTCTGCACATTTCTCTAGGAGCTTATTCAGTTAAACGGGGGGCAGGGCAAACTCCAAAGGGCAGTAATTATGGCAGCCAGTCAAAGCAATGGCTCCACTAAAGTGAATTATTTATTGTTGTGGGTTACTGCCCTTTGCACTGAGCAGTTATTTTGTAAGTGCTTAAATAAAAAGGTAATGATGCAAAGTAAATGTTAAAGGGGGTTTATGAAATAGAGCATTAATCCAAATCAACCAATCTGAGTCCATATTCTACTAGTCTGTCTTCAGAAAACTCTGGTTGCTTTGGGTTACTGTATTTTGTTCCTTAACATATAGAATCACATACAAATATCAAAATAAAAGTGATATTAAAAATGGCTTCCAGGTTTTTGTTGCAATAACAACTCAAAATGCATACTCAATAATATCATAGCATAGTTTTCCTTTAAAGACCATGCAGGGGAATATTGCATTAGCACTGTCTGATCTTTTTTTCAGCTGCTTTTCTCAGCTGGAAGTTTAAAAAGCAATAGGTTTACATCCTCTCTTTAGATCTTTGGTATTCCCCAAACTAAAACATCAACATTGGCTAATTTTATGTTTTGGACAATGGCACTTGGAATCTAACATGGTTATTCACAATAGGGTGAAGTTTGGAGAAGGCAGGAGAAGTGAGCAATCTAGGACATACATAGCTGAACTGGAAAGTGAGTTGAATGGGAGAATTTTTCCAGATTGGCTATATTGTCCTAGATTGTTCACTTCTCCTGCCTTCTCCAAACTCCTCACCCTTTTGTGAGTAACCCTGTCAAAGTTTGCATCTGATTGGTGACCGTAGAATAATAACATTCTCTTAGCATTATTACTTTAACCAAGAGGACCATCTTTACTTCAGGTTTTATCAACTCTAGTTTTTAGTCCATGTGTATTTTCCTCGTTTTGAGCTCTCTTCTTACATGTTAACAGCATGACCCTCTACATTGAGATGGCTTGCAATGGTCTATTTGGAGCTGGTCAGGGAGGAATGATTGCACCAGTCGATCCACACAGAACATTTACTCTACAGAAGGCTGAACTTTCTGTTTACAACCGCAATGTAGAAGAACTACTTCTGGATTTTGAAATTCTCTATGATATGGCCAAGGTGAGCAAAGCCTGCTAAATGCTTAGTTGAATGTTAAAAGAAATGGAAGGTGGCAAATATGCAAAGATAAAACTGTGTGTGTTTATTATCACAGCAATTAGTCTTTTAATTCTGCTTTAGCATGTACTTGTCTTACCTTTGCATCCCGGCCACTCTGTCTTCCCACCGGATAAACAGAAGTAGCCCTATGTATGATCCTAATGCATATTAGGCTGAGGACTATTTTACTACCACCATGTAACACTGCTGGGACCTGCCAGTAGTTTGCTCAGATACCCAGCACTGCATTATGAGAGGCAGGGGAGAGAATCAATTTCAGGTGGGCGAGTGGAGCAGTGGGGAACAAGTTAATGATATCAGTCAATCCTTGTTCACAAGAATAATGCACCACTTCTAACAGAAGCTCGGCACCTCTTGCTGTATCTCCAGCCTTGCTTATGAGAGTCTTAATTCCTCAGGTCTGTTGAAATGTTATTACCCCTACTGCCTATGTAATGATGACATGAAAACATTACTCATGTCCAGGGCTTGAAAAATTTTAGGGTGTCTCACCAGTCAGTCAAAAATGTCACCAGTCAGCATGACCAGACTATAGCCTTGCAATTTATGTTAACATTTTTTGGGGACGGATAGAGGTTTCTTTTGGTGGTATATAAAATCACCACTGGGGGGAGGTTATTTTTTTTTACTATATAATGAAAAAAGTACAGTAAATTAAAAAAAAACAAAGTTTCCCTACCTTATGTTATAAAACATCTATTCTTACCCGTATTTTTGGTAAAACATAAAAGACTGGGTCACGTCGGGTAAATAGACACCAAACATGTCAAGCCTTAAAATTGCATGCGCCCGGAAAAAAAAAAATCAAATAAAACGACCACACTGAAAATTGGCCATAGGCGACGCTTAAAATGCTTTTACCGCTCATCAATTTAGTGTTGATCTCCCTTTGATCTCCTGTCACAGAGCCGTGCCGGTCCTGGCCGCATCGGGGCAAAGCGGATCTCGGGGCCGGCAACGGCAGTGACTGCTGCTGGTAAAACAAGCGATCGGGCGTCTCGAGACGCTCGAGCACTTGAATGTAAAGCTCCAGGCCAGCTGTGTAATTACAACGGCCGGCCGGGAAGCTGCTCGTCGGGCTCCACCATCCTCTCGTTGCGAACGAGTGGATTTTTCAAGCCCTGCTCATGTCACTTGTGCCATTACCTTTAACCTCTTATGCATTCCACTATATGGACCCACCGGTCATTAAATAAACCATAAATTGATGACATCTTTTTTGCTTCTTTTGTTGCTTCACCGCTATAGTAGTTTTAGAATTTACTTCAGTATTTCATCTTATATTTTTATAAGTCTAACCATATTTGACATGAATTGCTTGTGTTTTTTTTCCCCCTAGTTGCTTGGTGAAGATAACCAAAGAAGCTATCAAGCTCTCTATGTGGCTAACCAAATGGTGAACCTGTGTGATGTAAATGACCCTGGCACCTTTGCTGCTGTTGCCAACTTGGCCTCCACATTTTTTTGCCAAAAGAACGGAGACAGCCAGCATATGATTCACGCGATGGGACACTGTCACATCGACTCTGGTAACTGCTGTTACATGATAGGCATAGTTAAAACAAATATGTTTGTATTGAATGGATTCCTTGAGTGTCTTCATAATAAATAACTGATCAGCAGCCAGATACAAACCTTGGAATCCCACGTGATAGCTGCCTTTCCCAACTAACTTATATTGTTAAAGAGGTTTTATTATGTGAGCTCTTTTCCCGAAGACATATTTTATATAGTTATGAATCCTTGTTACAACAATGTTGAGGAATTGAAGGAGGTCAGGAGAGATTGATCTACTTTTTTTCTATAACTGTTATTTGGAAAAGAAAATGGTTGTTGTAGCTAGTGACATTTAAAATGAGTTTTGGTAAAATCTCAGCATGAAGAGTAGACCAGAATCCAGCCTCTACAAAGCTATGTTGCATGACTTGTCATTTGCAATGTTGGCATGATACATTGTGTTGTCTACCACAGAGTTGTTTTTTTGTTGTTTTTTAATACTATCTCACATTCAGTTGCAAGTTGAAGAATGGTAGATAAAATGTGATCTTAAATGAAACTTGTAGCCTCCAATGTCATATTAAACCAGCGTTGGGATGATAACCCAGGCATCTCTTAGTGCCTGTACCTGCGCACTGGACTCAGAATCCTGAAAAAAAACAGTTTTCTTTATGAAACAAGTTTACTTGGATGCACTGTATTCTTCCCCTTCCTTCACCCCTCGCTTCACTATTGGCCCTTGAGGCAACCTATCCAATTTGTGTTCGGTAGGGGGGAAAGGAAGTGGAGGACTACTGAGTGGCTGTAGCAGCTGTGGACATGGTCAGCATAGTAGAGCAACCTGAACTTAGAGTTTCCTGGGTCGGTCTGGGCATGAACTTTGTGAAATTTTAAATTTAAATATTTTCAAACACCATATGAAAAGACCATTCAACTTCAGAAACACTGTGACTTGCTTTTTATATCAGATAAATCCATGTTTGGAGAATTGGTGAAAACCATATTAATCATTATAGCATTGAAAGCATTCACTAGATGAGAAGCTGAACCAATAGAGATTTGCCCATGGCTAACCCCCTGATGCCAAAATAGACCTACTGTGCAAAGGAACAGATGTTACCTAGATGCTTCAATACAATATAACAGTGTACTGTATAAATGTACCATTAGAAATCTCATGTATAATGCAGGGAGGGATGAAAAAAAATGAATATCCACTTTAAAAGTGACAGCTGTGCAGCTAAATGTATATCCATGGAGTAACCCATTTGGCAATGTAGTTCTAATTGGCTTTAACATTCTGTATGTTTTTCTTAATATATCTGGTTCCCTAGCTACTTTGTGTGTTCCCATGACATTGACTTGAATCGTTGCAGAACTTTGTTTCAAGTGGTTGGTCTAAACATATGAGAAAACATTATTATAACATTCCATTAGTATGCAGACGGGAAGTAAAAATCTTACTTATTACTACAGACCAGGATCATCATTGCCCCTCTTATACACATTGCTTGAGAAAGTTGTTGTGTTCTGTTGAGGTGTTTTCTGCATGATGTGCATCTTGTCCTCAAATCCTGTTACAGCATGGTTGTGGCCATATGACGAAACTATAAGAAAATGTGCTCGTAGCTGGGTAACTGCAATACAGCTGATGGCATCCAATCCAGACTTCACTTTTACATGCTCTCAGGTAAATATGTCTCTGTTTTATCCAGCATACAGCAATTCACCGGCCATCTGTTCAGATGTTTTCTCTGACCTTATCCATTCTTCAGACTCCTGAGCACTTGTTCCTGCAAACATAGCCTATTAACCTAAACTGTTTTATTATATAGTACTGTAATTAATGTGACCTTGTGGTGGCTTATTGTGGGGCTGCATAAGCAGGCATTAAAGCGTAACTGAATTTTTTTTTGGGGGGGGGGGGGATTTGAAGGTAGAAG